GGAAATAGGCCCTATCTCTTGAAGTAAAGAGGAGGACTTGAAAAAACTCAAAGTCAATTAAACCACGAAACTCTTGGATCAAAAGAAAGCCCTTAACGAGATCCACAGTCTTTCTCAAAGGGCCAAGGTGAAAAGATACCTCTCAGTGAATAGATCTAGAGATCTAAGTGAAAAAGTTAAGTTTCTAAGAGAAAGAGAGGGATTCACAGTATAAAGAGGGAAAAGAGAGAGAGAGATAGAATAAGAAAAGTGTGTTTGAGGTCTATTTATAGTGATAGAATAATAGCCCTAAAGTCAAAAAAAAAAAAAAAAGAATAAGTCAAACTCCCAAAAAGTTGTGCCCAAAACTGAACCAAAATTTGAAAATTAACTCACAGGGATCGACCCTCATGGCAGTGGTGTCAATCCTCAGGAAAAAAACTGTGACACTAATGTATGCAGAGAACAAGGGTTGACCCTAGGAACCAGTGGTGTCGACCTTATATTTCAGAATGCAACCCAGGACAAACACAACAAGGGAAAGGTCGCCCTTCAGAACCCCTGATATCAACCTTCAGAACCCCTGGTGTCAACCCTATAAACTAGCAAAGACACTAAGAACAATGCAGCAAGGTGGCGTCGACCCTCAAGAAGGCTAGTGTCGACACCAAAACAGATTTTCCAAGTTCCAAAAGAACATTCCAACGTAAACAAGCGTAAACAAACAATCCCAATAAGTCTAAATCGAATCGTGCTCTTCCAAAACCAAAATACAACAACTCCAAATACTTCCAAAATGAAAATAAAGGAATTTAATACACTCTTCAATAGTTTAAAAGGCATAAGTGCTACGTCTTATATTCTCACCCTTAGATGGTGTAACGCCTTGAAATTTTGTCACAAGAATATGCCAAGACAAAAATAAGAATATACCCAAAAGTCATCTTTCTCATTGAACTAAGATTTAAGGGTTTACAATTCACTATGTACAGTCTTACAATATTCATAATTCATATTCTAGTTCAGTGAACTAGATGGCCTTACAAAATATAAGTCTCTAGGGCGTATAATAACAATAAAATAAACTGATAGTCTTGTTACAACAATCCCAATTCAAAATAACAAAATACACATGAATCAACTTTTTCCAAAAGAAGTTACTGCTTGATCCCATCCATCAAGTAGGTGGTACTTCGTCAATTCCTGAAAAATAAAATAGGGTTGAGCTATATGCCCAGTAGGAACACATTTAACCAAGTATTTAATCTTTCGAATAAGATTATGGGATTTTTGCGACAAAACATTACAAGGAAATTTATCTTCACATATAATATTTATCAATCATATCGATGCACAATAACCAAAGAATGACAACTATAATTTATGTCATTAGGCACCACGCAATTTATGTTATCAAGCGCAACAATCACAACCATAGAAGGCAAACCATGAGTCCACCTATAACAGTCCAATTTAAAACACCATTTACTTTTGTTTTAAAACCGCCCCCACATTTGCTGGCTATTATACGGCAGGGAGTGGGCACTCAAAGAAAACCATCCGTTTTTTCATTTTTGTCAGCTATTATACGGCGGGACTATGTAGGCACTCAAAAACATTTTTCTCACATTTGTCCAGCAATAAGCTAAGACAGGGCATTTGGGCACCTTTTCAAACTCCTCGCGCGGGTACCAACACAACACCACATTTTCAAAACCAACTCTTACCCAAACTTATGCACAATTAACAATTCAATCACATTTTATTTCATCAACAAACATCCAGCCTTACCAAAGAATGGAATACAACACCACATTTAAAGAAAATAGCATTCAAGCCACAATTCCTTTACCTTGCTAACATCTACATCTTTCATCTCTTCATTATTCACAATTATTTCACGAACCAAAGGAAATTCCATTCAATTTGGTGTTTTCTACTCAATTTGAAAATTTAGGGTTTTACCGAATTTGGGGGTTTTTCTTCTCTATCATAGATATGGGTTTTAAAAACATTTATATACATGTTTTGAAATGGGAGAGTAAAGAAACCTCAAGTAAAAGTCAAGTAAAATGGTTTATTTATGCAAAACTTGAGATTAATCCAACGATATCCTCAATTTAGCTTATAAGTCACAACCACACCATGAAATCTATTCAAAATAAAGAAATATTTTGGTAAAAGTATTCCTACCTGTACAAGTAGAAGGAAAATGCAACCCCTTAAAGAATCCTTCACAAAACCTAGATTCAATCGGTGAAGGAGTAAGATCTCCAAGTCTTCTTCACTTTTTGATAGGTGATCTGAGCCAAATCTTAGTGGAATGAAAGGTATTTTAGAGTGAGGAACTAGGGTTTTCGAAAATGACGAGAGAAGAGGGAAGATAAAAATGAAAATTTTAAAGAATGATCTAGAATCAAGTTTTTAAAGTTGCTGAATTCGCGCAGTCCGCTCGAGCGCCACCTTCCCCACTCGAGCATAAGACACAAACTTAGAGGCCCGCTCGAGCGATGAATCCTCGCTTGAGTGCAAAATGACAAGTCCTAGAAGTTTTACAGAGCTGTAGTGAAACAATTGGAAACCAACAATCTCCACTCAAGCACCACTTCCTGCGTTCAAGCATCCCGCTTGAAAACTCAAAAGATACTGAGAGTTAGAATTTTCCGCTCAAGTGCGAATTTTTACACTCGAGCGGACCCAGAACAAAAGTGTCACAAATGGAATCCTATTCTTTATTGGCCTATTGAGTAGCTTCTTACAAATTGGATGAAAGACAACAAAATCATCAACAACTATCTATAGTCTCTGCATCGACAATACCAATTGCAAAAGGAAAAAAAATATGAAACAGAGAACATTTTACAATTAGTAAGTAGCATACATAAAAGGCCAAAAAAGTAAAATAGTAAGATGTTACTATAATTAAAAGTAAAAGTTTACTCTGAAAATAAGTAAAATGTTACTCTGAAATTAAGTAAAATTTTACTTTGTGAGACACTGACAGTAGTAGCTACCTTGATCCCCATCATTCATTGTAGTTGATAATAATGTACTCTTATATTTGCCATTCAGGAAAGTACCATCAATAAATAATAGAAATAGGTTAAATCCTTCAATATGCAGTTCGACACAGCCTTGAACACAATGGTAAGATCACCATATTTGCATAACAGCATAAGAAGTGGAACCATTTTTCAAATCTGCAATTAGTTGACAATATAAATTTACTGTCAATCAAAGTAAAATTTTACTGTCACTAGGAGTTTAAAAACAAATCACAAAAGCACAAAGTACCATAATAAATTTTTATTGTCATTCTATTAAACAAAAACAGAACACATAGTATAAGAGTAAAAGTTCACTCTTGTTTTATCAAACAAAAACAGAGCACATAGTACTAGAGTAAAAGTTTACTCCCAAACAAAAATAGAACACATAATACCAAGAGTAAAATTTTACTCTCATTCTATCAAATAAAATCAGATCATACACAATATAAATAAATAAATAAATAAATAAATAATAATAATAATAATAACTAATCAACAAATCAACATATCTGATCAAACTCGAACAATAATCAAACACGTGATCGAAACAAAATCTCTAAAACTCGATCAGCACTCTCAATCTTGATGAAATTCTCAAAATCTGATATAAATTTGTACATATTTTAATATAGGCTCTCGTTGATACAAATTTCGAGATTACCGGAGAACACATGATCAAAGCAAATTTGATGAGATCATTGGTGGCAAATCGTCTATTGTTGACAGACGACGAGATCGTTGGCAGTGAAATCTTTAGATTTCAAAATCGTCTTCATTGATTTCGAATTGTTTTCACTGATTAGATTTTCAAATATATGAGATCAGTGTACATATCGATCAGATTTTCAAATACATGATATATATATATATATACATAAAAGGGCAATATTGTCCAAAAAAAGGAGAAATTATTGTGTGTCATTGTTGAGACTTTTTGAAGCTAAATTAGTTAAGCTGTCATTTATCCTATAAAAAAGCCCAAAAAATCAAGTTTTACCAAAAATCACAAAATTAAATAGATTCAAATTTCCAGCGTAATTTAGCACCATAGACCAAATGTTTGGTTTGATTCTTCAAATTTTATTTTTAAATTTCTTAATTTTGGTTTTTTATGAATTTCTTAAGATTTTCTTTACATATGTTTTACTTTTTTCATATTATCACTTATCTGTCTACTTAATTCATCTATCTATTCATATCATCACTATCACTATTGTCGCTGTTCGCGACTTTCCGGTGGCCAACTGGTAGCAAGTCCTGTAGTGAGGGTACAATTGAAGAAAAAAAATCAAAAAAAAATAAAAATCTTTCTAAACAAATAATTTCATTAAATATGATCACCAAAAATGATGAAATCTTAAATCAAATAACATATTACTCATTAATGTCTAGATTGATCATTTTTTTTTTTTTGGAATATTATTGTTTTCATTCCATTTTATTTCAAATATATTTATTTCTTTATCCTTATTATATATATAGTTATTATTCTTATTCCACATTAATTCAAATATATTCCCCTCTATGACAAAAAAAAAAAAAAATATATTTAAAACAAAATAGGGTGGGAATAGCACTTTTTGTTGGAGAATTTCAAATGAGCGTCTGTTGAAAAATAAGATTAATGCGGCAGACCCCCAGTTTTTCCGGACCCCAGTGACCCCCCCAACCCACGTGGCTGTGGGTGATTGGAAAGAAAGAAAAAAAAAAAAAAAAATTCTGGACCAACAAAAAAAAACTGGAGTGCCCCCCCCCACTGGGGTCCCAGCACCGTTGGAAAAGTAATTACAAATGATAAATTTTATGGGAAGTGATTGACACCCCTCCAATCACCACCCCACTACCCCACACACACATGGCAAGTGATGATTGGAGGAGAAGGAAAAAAGAAAAAGAAAATAGAAAAACTGGCCAATGAGAGAGAGAGAGAGAGGGGGTCAAGGATGCCTCCTTGAGGGGTCCAACTCATTTTCCAAATTTTATTACCCACGGCAGAGGATCGACACACGAGTTCTCAGTCCCAGTGTGCCCTAGGGCTTCTCTCTCTCTCCCTTGCCCATTGTCGTCACAACAGGTATGTCTCTCTCTCTCTCTCTCTCTCTCGGTCTCTTGAAGACCTAAGCTTTATATATGATTTTTGTTTTTTTGGGATCGACATTGAAGCTCAGAGCAATTGCAGAGGTTATCTACGCACCTCAATCCGTTTGCCAATTCCAGTATTGTATTCATATTCCTTTTGCTGTCCCTATATGTAATCATAGCATTACCCTAGTTTGATACATAATTTTGTTATTTTTTAATATCCTTTTCATCTTAGTTTGAGTTTGATACATAATTTTATCATTTTTTTTATAATCATTTTCATCTTAGTTTGAGTATGATACATAATCTTATGGGAGAATTATACGTCACATAAATGTTAGGCTATTTTTTATTTGATTGCTTAATTGATGATAGTTCTAAGTGATTCCCTGATTTCATTGGTTGAATTTCTACATAATATTGATGACAAAGTTCATATTTCAGTCGTGCCTTCGGATATACTAATTTGTGATAAATGTACATTTCAATGAGCTTTTTTGCGTATGTATGTATGTGCTTTTGCGTTTTCACATAGGTTTTTGTGTAATTAGGACACTTTGTATATGTGCCTGATGTGTTTGTGATTTCAATGACATACATAATTAGTTAACAAATGTCATTGTGGTGGTGTCGATGATATTGGCTTACTTACGATGTGTTTGGTTAGGGGATTGAGAAGGGATTTGAAAGGGAAAGGGAAAAGGTAGATAAAATATAAATAAAATCTATATAATAAAACAGGACGGATTTTGAAAATATATAAAATGTATCAGAGATACACTTCATTTCAAGGGCTCAGATCAATTGTGATACACATCAATGGTTGAGATTTTGCTTCAATTCCCGCCCAAACACTCGGAGCTCTCTCCCACCTACCCACGTCTCCTCCCCCGTTCCATCTTTATCTCTTCTCTATTGCACTTCTCCTCCCATTCCCTCCTTATCTCTATCTCCCTCTTTGTTTCTCTTCTTTATCAGAGACGCTACCTCTCTCCTTCTCTCTCACCCGATCTCTGCCTCTCGCCCCACCCTCCCACTCGCTGCCTCTCCCCCTCTCCCTCCTTTCGCAGAGTGCCTCTCCCCGTCTCCCCAATCGGGGTTCAGAAAGGTATCGCGGTTCTTAATCGGAGCTACTTCAGAGCCAATATCAAGAGCCCAGAAACGCTTCTTACTCTATTTGAAATTTCCACCTGAAACAATGGGCTTTCGCAGAGTGCCTCTCCCCGTCTCCCCAATCAGGGTTCAGAAAGGTATCGCCGTTCTTAATCGGAGCTACTTCAGAGCCAATATCAAGAGCCCAGAAACGCTTCTTACTCTCTTCAGAGCCCAGAAACGCTTCTTACTCTCTTCAGAGCCCAGAAACGCTTCTTACTCTCTTCAGAGCCCAGAAACGCTTCTTACTCTCTTCAGAGCCCAGAAACGCTTCTTACTCTCTTCAGAGCCCAGAAACGCTTCTTACTCTCTTCAGAGCCCAGAAACGCTTCTTACTCTCTTCAGAGCCCAGAAACGCTTCTTACTCTCTTAATCGGTGCTGGATTCATCGATCCTTCTCCTCTGTTTTCTCACTCACTCAGGTTCGATTCATTTTTTTTTTTCTTCACATGATATTATTTTACAATTTTCAGAACACATGATCAAAGCAAATTTGATGAGATCATTGGTGGCAAATCGTCTATTGTTGACAGACGACGAGATCGTTGGCAGTGAAATCTTTAGATTTCAAAATCGTCTTCATTGATTTCGAATTGTTTTCACTGATTAGATTTTCAAATATATGAGATCAGTGTACATATCGATCAGATTTTCAAATACATGATATATATATATATATACATAAAAGGGCAATATTGTCCAAAAAAAGGAGAAATTATTGTGTGTCATTGTTGAGACTTTTTGAAGCTAAATTAGCTAAGCTGTCATTTATCCTATAAAAAAGCCCAAAAAATCAAGTTTTACCAAAAATCACAAAATTAAATAGATTCAAATTTCCAGCGTAATTTAGCACCATAGACCAAATGTTTGGTTTGATTCTTCAAATTTTATTTTTAAATTTCTTAATTTTGGTTTTTTATGAATTTCTTAAGATTTTCTTTACATATGTTTTACTTTTTTCATATATCACTTATCTGTCTACTTAATTCATCTATCTATTCATATCATCACTATCACTATTGTCGCTGTTCGCGACTTTCCGGTGGCCAACTGGTAGCAAGTCCTGTAGTGAGGGTACAATTGAAGAAAAAAAATCAAAAAAAAATAAAAATCTTTCTAAACAAATAATTTCATTAAATATGATCACCAAAAATGATGAAATCTTAAATCAAATAACATATTACTCATTAATGTCTAGATTGATCATTTTTTTTTTTTGGAATATTACTGTTTTCTTTCCATTTTATTTCAAATATATTTATTTCTTTATCCTTATTATATATATATATATAGTTATTATTCATATTCCACATTGATTCAAATATATTCCCCTCTATGACAAAAAAAAAATATATATATTTAAAACAAAATAGAGTGGAAATAGCACTTTTTGTTGGAGAATTTCAAATGAGCGTATGTTGAAAAATAATTACAAATGATAAATTTTATTACCCACGGCAGAGGATCGACACACGAGTTCTCAGTCCCAGTGTGCCCTAGGGCGTCTGTCTCTCTCCCTTGCCCATTGTCGTCACAACAGGTATGTCTCTCTCTCTCTCTCGGTCTCTTGAAGACCTAAGCTTTATATATGATTTTTGTTTTTTTGGGATCGACATTGAAGCTCAGAGCAATTGATTTCTTCCTTTGATGTATGCATATTCATTCTTTGGTTTATGAATTGTATATTCTAACATTCGATGAAGTTTTAAGGAATGAGGGCCAGCAAATAGTCTAACATGTTCAATGAGTTTTATTTATATTATGTCTGGTCTTAATTAACAGAAAATTACAAGCCATATGAAGAGAAGGAATGGTATTTCTTTACACCAAGAGATCGCAAGTATAAGAATGGGAAGCAGCCAAATCGAGCTGCAGATAATGGATACTAGAAGGTTACCGGTACTAATAAGACTCTGAGATTTATGGGTGCCGATGTTGGTTTTAGAACCGCATTAGTATTCTACAAACGAATACCTCCCTGATTTCATTGGTTGAATTTCTACATAATATTGATGACAAAGTTCATATTTCAGTCGTGCCTTCGGATATACTAATTTGTGATAAATGTACATTTCAATGAGCTTTTTTGCGTATGTATGCATGTGCTTTTGCGTTTTCACATAGGTTTTTGTGTAATTAGGACACTTTGTATATGTGCCTGATGTGTTTGTGATTTCAATGACATACATAATTAGTTAACAAATGTCATTGTGGTGGTGTCGATGATATTGGCTTACTTACGATGTGTTTGGTTGGGGGATTGAGAAGGGATTTGAAAGGGAAAGGGAAAAGGTAGGTAAAATATAAATAAAATATACTTATATTTCACTTAGTTTCACACCTTTTTCCTTTCCCTTTTTAAATTTCTTTCCAAATCCCTCAACCAAACATAGCGTTAATATCTGGTGGGAATTTGTGTGCTGTGCATGATGAACCTACCCCTGGGCATAATCTATGTCGTCAAAATTTACTTAATTTGGTTTTGCTTTATCTGTTAATTGTTAATCATATTTATATATGTAAAAAAAAAATAAAAAAATCTGTTAGTTGTTATTCATAAGTGGTTATTTGTTTGATACTGTTTTTTGAGCTTGTTGGTAGCTTGCTTGAATTTTACTTAATAATAATTAAAAAAAAAGCATATTAACATTCTGTTATTTATATCCTGATTCATTATGTCAAAAACAGTTTGGATAGTAGGTCTAGCTGAGGAAAGAGGATAAGAGAAAAATGCCTCTGTATGACTGTATGCTTTTACTGAAACCCCATGTAAAGAAGGAAGCTTTGATGGACTTGGTTGCTCGGGTAGGGAAACATGTTTACAGAAGAAATGGTGTTCTCACTGATATGAAATCATTTGGAACTGTTCAATTGGGTTATGGTATCAAGAAGCTGGATGGGAGATACTATCAGGTGAGAATCTACTCATATTGCACCATTACATGGATATATTGTTTGTGTTTTTCAGCATTTGTCATGTGCAATAAATGGTAATTATTATTATTATTTTGCATTTTGCTTTTATTACTGGCTTTGATTGAGCATGAACTTGGGTTGTATAGTTATGTGTTGACTGTGGAGCCACTGTCAATTATTTGACACAATAGATTCTTTTCATATTTCATTTTACTTGCAATGTTGGAAGTAGTTGTTGTGTAAACTGTGTGTGCAGCCTAAGCTGTTGAAGCATAGGTATATAAAATCCACAAGATTTGGGGCATTGGCAAGATCTATTGGTTACACAAAAATCATAATTTTAGGCAATTCTGTTGAAGCTTGATACCAAAGAGTAGTAAATGAAAACAAATTTTACTTTTGTCATCCCATGATCAAAGTATAAGTAGAATTTTGTCCGCAATGCTCAAGAGAGAGAACTACATGACAGATAATTCTCTTTTGGAATGGGGCCAGCCACTTGGGAATAACGGAGGAGAGAGAACTAAACTAATCTATCAAATGGTGGAAGTCACAAGAGTGAGGACTAAACCTAATCTATCAAATGGACTTTCTTAACTTGTTCATTAAGGATCTGAAAATTAAGCCTATTGAATTCCATTTATGCATTTGAGGCTTTCAGCCGTCAGAAGCCCTAAAAGAGCTAAACATCAAGTGATTGCATCCTTTTCCTATAAACATTAAGCCTATTGAATTCCATTTATGCAGTTGGGGTGAATTACATCCTTTTCCTATAAAGGTGATTGGAAATAGATCTGAAATGAGTCTTCGTAGGCAAAGGCCATCCGTAACCTTGTATTAGAATTGATCTTGCTATTTAACTGAGAGATTAAATTTTGGGTTTCTTCCCAGGGAAAATGTAGGACTTATCAAAATATAATGTTGCAACTTCGTTTCATATTGATTATTGTTTTCTAATTGCACTTACTGATTTCATCACAAAATTTGTAGAGGTTGAGTAGGATGTTCAGAAAAGTAGATCTTTTATTTGATCTAAATGATGGCAAAGATCAATAAACATTGGTGTTCATATTTCAAAGTTGTCCAACTTAGTCTTGAATCTTGTATTTCTTCAAATCTAAAAATTTTCAAATTACTGATTGTTCACTGTAAGTCTGCAACTTAATGACAGTGTACATGGAGTTAGTCAATTGAAAGATTTGGTTTGGGTATCTAGATCTGTATTTTGGTTGGCATATCAAAATAATGATTGTGTGAACCAAATGAAATTGAGAAGTAGATGCAAGAGAAGGAAAAGATGGTAGACACTGCATGAAGGAAATCTTCAATTTGTCTTCCATACAAGCTGTTAATATACTCACGTTGTAATTATAAAGTGGTTACATAGGATGTCATAGTATCATCCATAAGCCAAGATCATTTCGTTTGAAAAGAATAATAATAATAATATACTTCAATTCTACTATCAGCAAGTCTTGGTGACTCCAATTGAGTGATTAGCTTGGGTTTGAGAATTTTGATCCGTGTTGCTCAGAACTTGGATTGTTTCAGTATGTGGAACGAGAACAGGAACTAGAACAGAATGTGATAAGTCAAATTTCACTGGTAACTACAGATGTGTTTTTTTGGACCGAAAGGATACTGCTGTCTAGTTGTCCACATCCCTACAGTTTTAGGTTCCAAAGAAGGCAATAAGAAAAAATTTTAAAAGAAAAAAAAGTGAAAAAGCTAGATATTTGCAAGATGTTAGTTTATTTGTAAGGGAAATAGTTCACACTATTCTTTAATGATTGAGACAATTGTTTTAGTCCACCGCCATTCCCCACAAGAGAGAGAGAGAGTTCTCACACCGAAGTTTATTTTGTTCGAGATTAATTTGTTATTGTTTGTAGGGCCAATTGATGCAAATGACAATGATGACACCACCAAGCTTCAATAATGAGCTGCATTACCTGAACAGGGAAGACCGGTTGCTTCGTTGGCTTTTGGTTAAACACCGAGACATCAAATATGGGTTGGAATTTCTGAGTGAAGATGATGGAAAAGGTGATCTAAGCAAGTTCCGTAGCAGCTTATACGGAGATGATGATATTGATGACGATGAGGATGACGACGACGATGAGGATGAAGAATACGAAGCGGACCAAGAGGAGATGAAACTAGAATGAATGTGATGAATGCTTACCATCTCAGTTAATTTTGGTGTTTATTCTGCTTGCTTGTATGTTGCAGTTAAGAGTAGATGATGATGATCTTGCCTAATGTTAAAAAGTACTTAATTGTAAGGTTTTTGGCAACAGTTTTATGCTTGAAAGTTGTCAACGGTTAGGATCATTCTACACTGATTGTGCTTCGTGGATGTTTGGCATCATCTCTTGCCTATGCTCAAATGTACCTGTTTTTTGGTCTTTGTTGTTTGAGTAGTGGCATAAGCTGTTCGGTTTTGGTCATTTTTTATGAAGAATTTGATGTCATACTGAGCCTTTCAGTTTTGCTACTAGTAAAAATTCAAAATATTAAGAGTTCACTTGTTAAAATTAAGTCAATTTTTTTTTGATGTGTTTTTTAGTCTTCAGTAGTTTTTTTTTTTGTTTTTACTTTTTATGTCCAAGTCTAATAGAATCAAAGAGTGAAATTTTTTAAATTATTTGTCTTATTTTACCCATTTGTTTCAAATTATGCCTTCTTGTTTTCATTTATCTGTAAATTTTCATTGCTTTCATTAATGCTGTGTTTGGATGAGAGTTGGGGAGGGATTTGGAAATGAAAAGAGAAAAGATATGTGAAATTATGTGAAATTTAAGTATATTTTATTTATATTTCACTTACTTTTTTTCTTTTCCTTTCAAAATTTCTTTCTAAATCTCTCAACCAAACATAGTATAAGAGTAACAAGATTTCTTTTTTATTTTATTTTTTCTTGAAATTACGCACAAATTAGCAAAGAGGAAACTGAGCATGAAAGTAAAGTTTGACAAAAATTGCACCTTCATAGTAACACGTCTTATGTGGCGAGAGTATGAAAGTAATGTATAATATATGAACATAAAAATGCCAATGCTCAAATGTACCTATTTTTTGGTTTCTGTTGTTTGAGCAGTGACGTAAACTATTCAGTTTTGATAGTTTCAGCTTGTTTGGTTTCGTTTTTCTGAAAACAGTTTTTAAAAAATTTTACTTTCTTATTTTTCGTATTTTTTTGTTTTTAATGAATTTTTTTAATATTTTAAGTAATTTTTAAAATTTTTAGATATACCTAACATAAATATACCTAAAAAGTACAAAAAAAATGTGAAAAAAATCTTTTAAAAATTCACTAAATACCAAAAATACAAAAAAAAATACGAGAATTCAGTATATTTTTTATATTTTTATGTATTTAATAATTTTTTAAAATATTTTTTTATAAATTTTTTACTTTTTAGATACATTTAAATAAGTTACATCTAAAAAACTAAAAAAAATGTTTAAAATTTCAAAAATATTCACTAAAAACAAAAAAACACGAAAAATAAAAAACTTAATCCAAAAAACTCAAACCAAACACACTTTCAATTTTGGTTTTTATGAAGAATTTGATGCCATATTGATCCTTTCAGTTTTGCTATTAGTAAAAATTCAAAATATTAAGAGTTCACTTCTTGCTAAAATAAAATGAAATATTTTTTGATGTTTTTTTAGTCTTTAGTAGATTTTATTTTATTTTTTTTAAATTTTAATTTTTAATTTTTAGGTCCAAGTCTAATAGGACCAAAGAGTGAAAATTTTTAAATTATGTCTTATTTTACCCATTGGTTTCAAATTGTTTCTTCTTGTTTTCATTTTTTTTTTTTTTTATTACATATTTTTTGATAACTGAGGGTGTTCGGGCCAGTTTGCGCGCACCTCAACTAATTCCTGGGAGACTAATCCCACCGTCCACTAGCGAGGGGCCCATTTAAAGCCAGAGCAGAGCTCTGTATGGACTGGCCCAACACAATAGTTGATAGTACCTAAGAGGTTTTGAATCTGAGACCTAGAGAGGAGCAAACTCCTAAATTCCAAACCTCCACTACTGGGCTAACCCTTGGGGGTTTTCTTGTTTTCATTTATCTGTAAATTTCCCAAAACAATTCATTGCTTGTCATTAAGAGTTACAAGATTTCTTTTACTTTACTTTCCTTAGAAATTAAACACAAATTAGCAAAGAGGAAAGTAGAATTTAACAAAAATCGCACCTCAACAGTAACACATCTTACATTGCGTAAGTGTGAAAGTAATGTATAGTATATGAATATAAAAATGGCAATGCTCAAATGTTCCTGTTTTTTGGTCTCTGTTGTTTGAATAGTGGCGTAAAATGTTCAGTTTTGGCTTTTATGAAAAATGTAATGCCATATTGATCATTTCAGTTTTGCTAGTAAAAATTCAAAATATTAAGAGTTCACTTCCTGCTAAAATAAAGTCAAAATTTTTTTGATGCTTTTTTAGTCTTCAGTAGATTTTTTTTTTTTTTAATTTTAATTTTAATTTTTACTTTTTAGGTCCAAGTCTAATAGGACCAAAGAGTGAATTTTTTAAAATTATTTGTCTTATTTTACCCATTAGTTTCAAATTATTTCTTCTTGTTTTCATCTATCTGTAAATTCCCCAAAACAATTCATTGCTTGTCATTAAGAGTAACAAGATTTCTTCTTACTTTATTTTCCCTAGAAATTAATCACAAATTAGCAAAGAGGAAACTAAGCATAAAAGTAGAATTTAACAAAAATCGCATCTTGTTTAGTAGCACTTAAAATCAGCTTAAATGAACTTTTAGCTTAAATTAAGTTATTTTGGTGTGTTTGGTAAAACTTATAGGGATAGATTAAAGCTTTGATTAAGCCATTTTGGCCTCCGTTTGGGAAGTGGGTTGGCTTTTTGGCTTTTTTGACTATTTTAGCCTGGGCTTAAAAGCTTGGTTTGGGAAGGGCTTTTTGGCTTTTTGGCTTTTTTGAGTTTTTTTGTGAGAGAAGAATGTAATGATTATGGGTTGGATGTGATGTTTTGTTTGTTATGGCTAAAATAGCCTATTTTGTCTTTTGTGGCTAAAATAGCCAAAAAAGCCCCAGAACCAACTTGCCAAACAGAGGTTAAATTTGTAAGCAGCTCCAGGGGGTGCTTGTTGATTTGAGGTCATGCACGCAATTGAAATGGGGGCATTAAATGACTTAAATGCTCTTCATAATTTCCAGTTATTATAAGTGTGCCATGTATATAAACCAAGAACACTCATTCTCTCTCTTTCACACAAACGGGAGAGGCGATTTACGACGACAAGAGTGCTCCCCTCTCTCTCTCTCTCTTGTGTTCTCCAATTGCTCACAATGAGCTATCTAAACTAGAGACCTTATCCATCGCGATCTCTCCACCGCGATCTGAACCAGAGACCCTAACCATCACGATCTCTTTGCAATCTCCTCTCTGTCTCTCTCTCTCTTCTGTGATCTCACAGTAACTGCTATTGCAACAGTAGGAGTGACGATCGACGGCTATCAGCGGTGGGATGAGAAGGAAGAGAAACAAGGGCTGCCGGCAGTGGGAGCATGAGAAAAAGGAAGGAGCTGCCGACAGTGGAATTAGGGGTTTAAATTAAAAAATAATAATAAATTAAAAAAAAGTTGGTAAATTAAAAAATTAATAAATTACAGAATAATTTTTATAATAAAATATTTAATTATTTAATTTTATATAAGGGCAAACTTCCTTTAACAATTTTTATATTATTAATTGGTATTGTGTAATAAAAAAAATTAATAAAAAAATACAATTTACTTCCACTAATGAAAAGAAATTAAACAAAATTAACCACAAAAAAAAAAAAGGAAGGAAAAGAAAATAAGGAGAAAAAGACAAGGGTGAAAAAGACATTTATACTGCAAAAAGTTACTTCACAACTTATTTAACAAACACTACTCATCAACTTAAATCTATAATCTAACAGTTATACTAAACAGATTAACAGCTTCTAATTAAAGTCATAATCTATAATCTATTAAGTTATAATCTATAATCTGTTTTAACAGTTACACCAAACGGGATCAGTAATACATCTTACTTCACTTGAGTATGAAAGTAATGTATAGTATATGAATATAAAAATGCCAATGCTCAAATGTACCTGTTGTTTGGTCTCTGTTGTATGAGTAGTGGCGTAAACTATTCGGTTTTGGTTTTGATAAAGAATTTGATGCCATACTGATCCTTTCAGTTTTTGCTATTAGTAAAAATTCAAAATATTAAGAGTTCACTTCCTGCTAAAATAAAGTCAAAAATTTTTAGATACTTTAGTCTTTGGTAGATATGTATATTTTTTTAATTTTAATTTTTAGTTAATGTTTTAATTTCATTTATTAAATATGAATTTATTCGTTTTGTTTAATTACACATAATTTGTACAACCATCTTAAAATATAACACTGCTTGTTTAAAACTATTTTCTGAATTGGAATCGTCCACTGATTTTTACGATGCATGATTGTAAATTAATATATACAATGTTATATTCTAATTGTTTAGTTTAATTAGAATACTTTTATTTCTAGAGCTCTAGTGCAGTTTGCAAGCTTATTTGTTTTTAAGTATAATTTTATTTTAGTGTCAAATTATTTCTTCTTATTTTCATGTACCTTAAATTCCCCAAAACAATTCATCCCTTTTCATTAAGAGTAAAAAGATTTCTTTTTACTTTATTTTCCCTAGAAATTAAGCACAAATTAGCAATGAGGAAACCAAGCATGAAAGCAGAATTTAACAAAAATCGCACCTCAATAGTAACACAACTTATATCGCGCCCGTATGAAATTAATGTATATTATATGAATATAAAAATGCTCTCAAATTCATAACTAACTTTCGAAGTTAGATTCTATCCAAAACCGTATAGTATATCAAAGCCAAAATAACTGTGAGCGCACCTCACTTTAATAGCTAACTTTCGAAATTAAATTCTAACCAATACCATATAACACCACCTTCACCAATGGTCCAAATTTTCCATCAGAACTTTATTAAAGACCTTGCAAGCATTGCCCTAGTTTACCCAAATATAAACCAAACACAATATAGACTTCACTGAAAAATAAAAATCAATTCCCCAAATGCTCGGCTTAATGGCTTACATAATTTGTAGGTTTCCTGGTTCGCGACATGCCCTCGTGCTTGGCAGGCAGGAGTTTTTACCACTGCACTAAGAATGGTTACCTAAACAGCAGACTTCCATTAGGTTTCTCAACAATCAAGCTATATGGAATGCTCACAAAAATATTACACAATTTCATACAAGGAAATCGTACCACAATTTGCTGGTTCTCATCAGAGAAGTCCCACCACTCTCGCTCTCTATTCCTGAGCCAAATACAAAAATAGAGAAAGAGAATAACAAGTAGACCATCATTCTGCTCTGAGCTTGGATGGCAATCTTCATATGAGAAAAGGAAGGAAACTTGATGAAAGATGTGCAGCACATCACTGGGCAGTCAAGCGGAGCAGCATTCAGCACCGGGCAGTCAAGAAGTCCCACCACTTCAGGACTTCAGGAAACTCGTATGCTGCTACTCAACTGCATATTACATCTCAAAAATTTTAGAAGTAAAAGAAGAGTAATTAACATTGAGAGAGGAGTTTTTTAAAATTTCAACACAAGTAGAAATATGAAAATATATAAGCAAAAGGATTAATTGATGCAAATAATTTTCGAACTCTTTCTCAGAAAAACCCATCACCTCAATCAAAAGTCCAAGAGAAAGGAGCTCATAATCGTTTCGAGCAATGAAAAAAACAAAATTTCCCATCAGACAATTGAAGTTGTAATGTGTTGTAGACTGAAACATACTACGAAAACCTCCCCCTAGCAAAGTGCCAGTTGAGGGGTATGCGCTATTTTAAGAAAAGCCCATATGAAACCTATTTATTGAAAATTTTCTTTTGCAATTGCAACTAAACATGTATACAACCTGGGGAAGTGCCTTTTGAATTATATCTGTTTTACTTGTCTTGAAACCTAAACCTGGCCAAACACTTGACTAATGGAAAGAAGTGGCCTATTCCCAGCCAATTACACAACTTGCACTGCAACAAACTATTTACACACATAATGCAGGAGTTGCAGCGTATTGAAAGCAGGGTCCATAGAAAGACGCTGGGTGTTTACCTTTCTGATTGAGCTGATAGGTTCCTCACAAGGCCAAAAATGTTGGTTTATCATAATATCTGGTGTGATCAACAGTCCTGATGTCCCACCGCATGAAAATCCTACAAAATTCAAACAAAAACAAAAAAATATGGAACTGTGATATTTAATTTTAAAACAAACCACTCATGGGAGTTTCAAGCTCCGTACACACACACACACACTTGCTTTATGTTCTGTTAATAGAAAGTCCTATAAATAATAATAATAATAATAATAAAGAAGGAAAGAAGTAAGAAACAAATAATTTACAGTATATAAAGGAATGTCTCTGACATGCACTAAATCATCAAAATTGTTTTCAAAATCATATATACATAAGCAACAAAAATTAACATAACCGACAAAAATGAAGCATTACCTGGAAGCAGAGACCTCCAGCTCTAGTGCCCTTAGTGTCACAGACAAGAACTTCAAGTCGGCTGTCATTGATCTGGTTAAGAGTCTGAAGATAGAGATTGGATTGAAAACATAACTCGGCCATGTGAAACTACATCGCAAATCGATGGCCACTAAACCGCAATAACGACACTGTTGGTAATGAAAATAACTCACCTTCAGCTAGCCGAACAAATAATTATAAAACGAGAAAATCTACATATAATTACACAATGTAAGAGATTACAGCATGAAAGAAAAGCTGACTTTATTGGAAACATAAAATGTATGTACAAAAGGCATTGTTCTCTGATTTGTAAATGCTACAACCAGAATACAGTTTTCGCTAAGATATAATGACTAAGACATACTGGCTTGTACATTGGACAAAAAGATCATTACAGTCAAAGTCACCAACTTAAAGAGGAGCAAAATCCAAAACATCCGACGGGTTCACTCGGAAAACAACTTGTGCAGGAGTCTCGGGAATAATCTACAGTCTAATTGTAGGACACGACAGTTAATGACCAATCTAGTTGGTCATTTCTTGAGGACGTTGATTTTGTTTCTTCTGTAAATAGGTATAATGAACAGGAATATACAAAGAAAAAGCAACTTCAGACAATCATATTCAAATCTGCTAGGTCATCCATTGGAATTTCAAGGCCATCAAAGTCATCGTGATCTTGTAATCCATCATCATCAATGTTCAACCATGAACCTATGTCCGTCCCTTGACCACCAAGATCATCAGGAACACCTAAAACATCCATTCCAGGGAGTTGAAGGTGGGACAAGTCGATGGGCTCATGATCATCCAATCCATCCAGGCCGAACTCATCCTTTTCCTTAACACTGCCACTTGTGGTCATCTCATTCGACTTTGGACCTGAAGACAATGTTGCTTTAGGTTGCTCTGGTAACTTGCCAAGTAGGCCATTGACAGAAGCAGATAATTGAGTAGTTTTCTGCTTAGGCTTTGTTTTAGACTTTCTTTCCCCCTTAACATTGCCTGATGTGGGCCGACCAATTTTAGTCGTTCCATTTCTAGATGACACCTCTCTGTTGTTCCCCTTTCCTTCTCTATCCCTCTCGCTTCTCTTTCCTTTGGCACTGCTTGAAAGAGAACTTCCAATTCCAGAAGGAGCAGTTGAAGAACCAATTGTACCACCAACATCATCAAGCAACAACTCCCTTTTCTTCACCTTATTTGACCATGAGTCTTCCTTACCAATAGTTTGTTCAGACGAATGATTTACAGAAAGGAGTGCATTAGAAGAATAAATGTCATGGTTGTTGAAAGAAGGGCTTTGCTGAGTGCCCATTGGAGCTGCAGAACAGACAAAATCATAGTTAAAACTGAAACCTGTCATATGACAAAGAAAAAAAGTTATCACTAAATTTAAGGCTACAAAACCATGCAAAAAGGTTTTACCAATTTAAGTCACACGATGTTAATATGGTAAACAAATTTACAGGTATTATGGATACATAGCAAACTCCAAAGAAATTTCTGTGTGAGGCCTCAAATGAAGTACCTGGAACTCTGATTTCCAAAGAACAACCGGACGTGTTGGCGAACTGTTTGCCAGATTCACCATCAGCAGTAGCAACCACTGGTGGTGCATCATTGAGGTGAGAAATACCAGAAAGGAACATATCCCTGAATAGGGGCTCGCAGAAACAGCTCTTGCCTGTATCTTCAAATTGTTGGCATCGTTCTAATGTCCGTTTGACAAAAGCTAAAGCAGCTTGCTTGGCCATCTTGCTGTTGCCACCCTTTCCTCCAGAGGCATTAGGACCCCGGCAAGTCTGCTGAACACAAATTGGGTCAATCACTAGTATGGCAGCACCTTGCCCAGAGACAAGGCAATGGAGATATTAAATAAAGCGAACGAACCACCCAAAAAAAGAAAAGAAAAGAAGATAATATCGTTGTTTGTAGCCCTAACTTTAGATAAACACAATTAACAAAAATATATAAAATGACAATTACAAATAGCTGATGCAGAAAAAGTAAGTAAACCCCAAAAAATGTTGCGACTACAATGACGAACAAGTTAAAAACAAATAACAAGGTGAAAAGTGGCTTACATGTAGCCACTCAATGACAAGCAAGGGACAAGTTAGAAACAAATAACAAGGTGAAAAGTGGCTTACATGTAGCCACTCAATGACAACCAAGGGACAAGAGGCTTACATTCAATCACCAAAATTACAAGTTTAAGGGGAACAGCACCTTACAATCTATGCTTGGAATAGAAGAAAAAAGAAAAATAGTCATACAGGCCACACCAATGGACCAATGGTTTCCACCATTGGTATCCCTTGATAGAACTGTGGTTTTTGGAAATTTGTTGAACTCAAACAGTTCTAACTACTTCAGATTTGTCATAACTTGGAACATTTAGGTATTTTTTTTCATATTAGGGGTATTTTTATAATTTATATTTGTTTAATATCCAAGTCACTAAGATTTTTTTATTTTTTTTTATGAGCTTTATCAAGTCCTTTTCTTGTCTAGTTGGAATTTACGAATCCTTTTCCTAATTATGCTTCTATAAAAGCAAGTGCTTCGTAATAGACAACTAGACAAGTAGATGAATAATATTTCTCTTCAAATTTTCTTTTCAATGGTGAGAGTCCATTGGTTTCTTCCAGATGAGACTCTTAGAAGAGCTTTAGAGAGCTTCTATGGTTTTTATCATTGCTGTTATTGTCGTCATTTTATTTCTTATTTGATTAATTTCCAGCAAGCCTCTACATCAAGAAGTTACCATATCCAGGTTTGCCATTTTTTTTGGTTTTTGACAAGTAAAAGGTAAATTTTATTAAAAGCCAAGCATCAAGATGATTCTGCCCCTTGTTCAAAAGAGGCAAAGGGATCTCCACCCTTTGGAAAACCTGCCGATGCCGCTCCAACCAAAGCAGCCCCATCAGGCACAAAGGCACAAGATCCCAAGCCTTCTGACTCTGACATCTTTTCCCAACTCCCTACCTCCTTTCCAACTAGAAAGAACACCCTCCACATGGCTCTGCTGCACCTACACCACACCAAACACTAAAAAAATCAACCCCCAAAACTGATACGCTACCAGGCAATGCAATAACATATGGGAAGTAGATTCTGCATCCTCACAACACATGCAACACCAATTTATCAAAATTTGTTGACGTCAAATGAGATTAACCAACGCCAAAATCCGATCTAGTGCCGCCATCCACACAAAGAACACCACTTTGGACGGAACTCCAGCAACCCACACACTCCACCACGGGAAAGAAATAGCCACTTGACCCACCAGAGTTCGATAAAAGGACAAAACCAAAAAAACCCCTTATACCACCCTTAAAACCCCAAGACCTTGCTTTTAAACACTAGCCTTCAGTACCCTGGATTCCCTGCCGATGAAATTCTCATATTTTACTTATAGCCCAGAAAATCCAGTAAGTTATCACTATTGATTTCAGACCCAAAATCAGCATCAAACCTCAAAATCTAATCTTTATTCCATCCTTAACCCTTATTGCAGCTTTCCAATTTTAAAGTAACACTAATTATGTGCAGATGAAAATATTACCTACACCTAGATTTTCAATTTCGTAATGGGGGTGTTTGGCAAGAAAGTTTTTAGCCTTTTTAAGGCTAAAATTCACAAAAAGACAAAATAGGCTAAATAGCTTATAAGCCAAAATATCACATCAAACCCATAATCATTTCACTTTTTCTCTCACAAACATAACATCGAACTATAAAAAAATTCAATCATCTTCCCAAACACACAAATTTTAGCCTACTAAAATAGCCAAAAACGAAAATACCGTACTAAAATAGCAACTTCCCAAACACCCACAATATCATATGTTATGACCATGGCTAAAGCTCGTAGAAGATTCAATTATATTGGACATTGGGTCATTGATGGAGAGAGGTCGACATCGGGCGAAGAGATTTTAGGCAAGACAATAAATTTTATTCCAGGTTGTATACAACACCGAAGGTGAGGAGGCCTGCCCTAGAGGACAAGGATTTTTCACCTGTTTCAAAAGAGGATTGGGTTAGAGTTGGAGACGCCATTTTTAGAAGAGGTGGTACATGGTGAGAAAGCACCCGGGCCAAATGGTTTCACTCTAGCGGTCTTCCAAAGAAATGGTATGGAATCCTCAATTTATAAGGGCTATGGAGGATTGGGAGATACAGTCTATACAGGCGTTGGATGCTTGTATGACTTCAAGGTTTGAAGAAATAAACAGGACACTTCGTCATGGGGCATCTCAAAGAATGGGGTGCTCTCAGTTCGGACCTTTTCAGGATTTGAGGGGTGAGAGAGACATTATGTATGTGGAAAGCAATTTGAAGTAGGGACCCCTCCCAAGGTTTCCTCTTCTTTTCTTTTTTTTTGCATGGTCACTGCACATGAGGCAATTTTGACTACAGACAATATTAAAAAGATACGCAACATGATCATTGATTACTGTTGCGTGTGTAAGGTGGCCAACGAAAGTGTGAATTATTTGTCACTTCATTACCCAATGATTTAGTGTTTTCTGTTTTGGAGTTCTTGAGTAATGCCTTTATTAGCAGCAGAATTGTTTGCTAATTGGAGATTTGGGTGCCCCTCGGAGAATGTAAGGCATTGTGAATTGTAGTTCTTAGTGTTTAGTGGAATGTATAGAAGGGCATATAATAGGAAGCCATTTAAGGATGTTGAATTATCCATCGTTCATATGATTTTCTCATTTCTATTATTTTTTGATGGAGAGGATTGTTCTTTATATGTTTTGTTGGTTGTCCAGTTTATTAGAGAAACATACGTGCCCATGTAGCTTATAAGGTTGGGTTTTCTGAGTGTACAGGTTCACCCATATTAGTGCTTTGTTTTTAATATTAATTTACTTATCATATATATATATATATATTATTCCTTAAACTTTCTCAATGATACAAGAAATTCCTTCATGCACTAAAAAACAAAAAACACACATCCACATTTGATTATTTAATTATCATACGAAACGATGAAATGAAAAATAAGAGACAAAACTATTTACTTCTAATGGAAAATAAAGCAATACATTGAAAATTTCCAAAATTCGAACACCAGTAAAAACGAATTTGGGAAAATTACCATATACTTGTCATAAGCCATAGCTACCAGCTTATCAAGAGCACGATGTTCAAACTCCCTATACAACATCAAAACATGCAGATCAGCAAGATGTTGCTCAAAAGGTTGAGCAAAAAACTCTTAAGGAAAGCACAGTTATCAATGGATGAAGGACAGAGTCATTACTTTTCTTGAAGCTCCCTCATCTCCAAAGCTGAGTTTAACAGTTTTCCAAGCAAGGCTTTCTTCTTAGTAACCTATTATTACCCACAAAACCATGAGATGGAAGTCTCAAGGAAATAAATTAACAAAATTGCTATATAGGAACTCCATTAAAAAACCAAATAATAAATAAAAGATAAGAATTTCAATAAATATCCGAAAAATAATACATCCAAAATTGCTAAATTTGTTTGCAATTCCCAGTCCAAATCTACTGGCATGACCTATGTAGATGGTGGATCATTCTAGTACTAGGACCGGGAGCGGGAGCAGGAACATGGTATGCCACATCCTCTAAAATGTGGTACGATGCGAATAGACTTATTAATTTGACATCTAACATGTTACAATGTATTTTTCTTTAAATTATTTGTTCAACAACATAATTCAACGAGTATTGTGACAAATTATTTTTACATTCTATCAATCCAAAACTCCACTCCATCTAGATTTAAGCTCATAATATTTGACTTTTTCCTTACCAAGGAGAACTTTTAATGCATGACTAGGACGGTGGACGAATGAAAAAGCAACAAGTTTTAATATGTATAAATAACAGGAGAGAAAACATAGGGAACACCCGCTTGCCTACAAGTCAAGCCTCCAAGTGTTTGTTCCAAAAACCTAAAAATCCAATCCTGTCTTCATCAGGGTTTGATCAGGTTTATCAATATACCCAACCCCAAAACAAATCCATTAATACAATTCTTCGATCCCAAATTGAAAATATATACACACATGTACACACACACAATTTAAAGGGGAAAGAAGAAGAACAAATACACAAATGATGTACAATTTATGATGAATTATCGAAATATGTAGATTATGTGTACATACAGAGTCAGGGAGGGAGGGAGAGAGAAGAGAAAGGAAGAGTTGATTGACAGAGGGGATTTTCACTTTGCAATCAGAAACTACCTGCTCACGGTAGTTGTCCTCCAGTCTACTGATATCTTCGCTGATTTCTTCATCTCCTGTCTGGGTTAAATCAGGCTGAATGGGGCCAAGTCAGGTTTGGGGGGGGGGTGAAGGAAGAACAACCATAAGAATATATTGACACATTTTTACCAAAGCTGAAACAGCATAAAATGAAGATTTATCTCTTACTAAAAAATATTCACTATGCTTCCCTACCCCGTTCAATAAAATGGAGGGATTGGGGGGGAATGGATGGAGAATGACAAGGAATTTTGCACAAAAAAAAAAAAATCCTACCACTGGCTCTAGATAAAGTCCAACACTTTGCATCTCCAGGAGAACTCTTTCATCTAGGGACATGTTACCATACTGAAACTCAGAACATGCTATGTCAGGTGCCATTGCTTGATCAGAAAGTAAACCATTTTGTGAGTACTCGAAGTTTGAAACTATCCCATTTTCTGGTATGGCCATTATGTCAGTATCTAGCACACTGTGCTCCAGTTCATTAAAGGGTCTCTCATCGGCAGTTACTCTATAACCATTAAAACCAGCACGTCCGGCAAGCTGAAAGTTCCCTAACAGCCGGTGATTCAAAGTATTGGATTCTAATGTGTCCAGCTCAAATCCAGATCCATAAACATCAAAATCGAGGTCTTCACTTCCGCTGTAGAAAAGCTCTTCATTTCCTTCTTCTGAAATCAGAGCTGCCACAAGTCTTTGGCAAAGGGGAATCTCTTTACTTGTTGCGGGTACTACATGGTCAGGGATAAGTTCAATATTTGTTGGTTCATTTGTATCTCTGTCAGGTTCAATCAACCCAAATCCATTAGGGACCATACTGAAACTATCAACATCTAGAGGTACTGGTGTTGGTGTTGGTGTTGGTGCAGTGGACCCAAGATTTCCCTGTAAGAATTTAAAAAATAAACAAATACACAAATAAATGATAATCAGAATAATTCTATTCAAATTTCTATCCGAGTGTGCTATACAAGGTATTGTATCCAAATCTTAGAAGAAATCATGAAACAATATCCTGAACAGAAAAAATTGTGGTTGGGCATGGGCATTTGGTGCAGCTTCTTCAACTCAACTAATCAGCTTTTTTGGAGGGAAAAAGCTAGCATTTTTAAAGCTACCAGAGAGGGGTTCCTTTTTGGATTAATTTTCCGGCTTTTACGTGTTGGACAAAAATGCCCAGAGAAGATCTCTTTTATATTCTCACTTACACAGTATTTGGGACATTTACACAACAACAAAAATTTACTTAACAGCTTATTTACAAAACAGATTCACCTTTTTCACAACTTGTGCACTAAATAATTTTACAATTTATTCAAAGCTTTTAAAGTGTTGCCAAACAGTCTATTTAATCAATTAAATATAGATGAAAGAACGCTTGAAAATTCAAGGAAAATAATTTTGATTAATGAAAACTCTTTTCAGAATAAACGATCAAATAGACAAAATGAAGACAGATCAAAAAAATACTCCTCTTAATACATAAATAGTAAGAATGACAAATCTATGCTACTTCGGTGGTATATCTCTCCACTGCATGACACTCAGCAATTGGGAATAACTTACGACATAAAGACCATATGCTCCAAAATTATGCCTTAATAGAAATTCATAGCCCAGGGCAGGAGCTGACTGAAAATTTCTTCCTTCTTTTCATGAAAAAAATGAACTTACCCAATGATACACAACAAATGACAATTGTAATCCTAACATAAATTACATAAATTGAATCAACCTAACACTACAAAGGTTAAGAAAAGAGAAGTGCATCTAATAAAGAAGAACAATACCACAATTCAAGTGAAATAATTAAAGAAATTCAAAAATTATTTTCTTTCCTTCTTTCCTTTTTTTTTTTTTTTTAAATTTTATAGGAAAAGGTGATTTTCACAAATACCTATACAAATAGCCAAAACCAATATTGGAAGAAATCTGAAAATAATCTGCTACCAAATTAGTCAAAACAGATGCCTTATTTGAACCTTGCCCATACTATCATAATAAATCCTCTTAATTGACATGGATATTTGTAAATGGCTAGTTAAAAATAGAAAAAAGATAATAGTTATACCCAATATAATGCACAACCGATAAAAACACATCAATCTAACAAGAAAACAAAGACAATCAATCACCTTTTGCTTTAAATAGGTTATTTCTACATCTGACATAAAACTGAAGTATGGCTCCATCTGCCTCCAGAATTGGTTGGAAAAACAATGAGCTGCAGTAACAATTAAATTAATCAATGCAATGAAGAAACCAGTACTTTTACGAAAAAGAAAAAGAAAAAGAAAGAATGAAGTCTCGAGCTAGAACAGTACCATGATTATTAATGACAGCAGCTGCGGCAGCCAATAGCTCTTCATGCCCATCATCTGAACCAACTAATCAAGTTGAGAAAGTGGTCAGAGGACTAGAATAACAAATACTAGGACTAGTTTCAGAATAATTCATAAAATCTTTACTGAATAGTTTGGGATGTAACTACCAAGAAAATCTGCAGGTGAGCTGATTGTGGTGTGCTTCTGACGTGTATAAGCCTTACGGTCAGAAAGTTTCCGAGTTGGTGGGCGACCTGCTTTGCTGAACAAAAATTAATAAAATCGTAAGATTTAAATTAGAGAAGTCCAAAATCGTCAAAACAACAGAACACCAAGGCCATTTATTAAAAGAACAAAGATTGGCAGAGGAAAAGAGGAAAAAAGCTCAACCTTTCGGTCTTGTCAAAACTATTTCTGGAACTTCTGAGTTGTTTTGCTGTTCCCACATTACCAAGCTTTTCAACTGTCATTGGCATAAGAGATCTGGTGGAAGTAAAACCTCGCCCAGTCCTCCCTTGCCTACGTACACCGTCTCCAAGGTCATCCCCACTAACCATCTTATTCTTTCTTGGTGGCTGCACCAGAGTTGAAACCTTCTGAACATTTTGACTGGCTTTCTCATCCATCTCATCAGTCTTCTTGCCTTTATCCCTAGATTTTATTTCAGCAGCCCCTGACTCCTCACTTTCTGATAATGCAGCTGTTGAAAAATGGTCACCCTTGGATTTAACTTGCTGTGGAGAATTACTGGACAAGCGTCTTGCTAAGCCTGACCCATTTTCATTACCAGCAACATCAGACATGGCATCCAAAGCAGGGCTCTCATCATTACTTGAAACTAAAGGAACAAAATTTGTTCTTCTAGCTGTACGGGACATCTTTGGTGGCTTTGGGCCAGTCCATAGTGCAACAGGTGGTGACGAAGACCGCGTTGATGGTGTGCGTTTGCGATTGTTAGCACTAGCAGCAGCAGAAGTCTTGTTTGTACAATGAGAAAGCTCCCAATCATTAGCAACAGTAGTTCGTTGAACAACGGGGGACAATTTGTGTAAAACATTTGAACCAGATCGTGGAGCCCGAGCAGCTGAATTCATTTTTGTGTTTGATGTAGGGCTAGCTGAACTGAAATCTTCCCTGACATTTGTCCTAGACATTGTAAGGATAAAAGGTACGTAAACCACTGCATGATCTTCATAAACAACTACTTGACTGGACTAGAAAAAAATTTAAAAAACTGAAAGCAAATACTATTCTTCTATGGAATAAGACTCCAAAAGGAAAAATAAATCAAAAGACAGATATACAATAAAGACAGAAATGTGGAATTAAACAGTGTGAATTATGATAGGGTAAACAGAATTAAAAATGCATACTTGTTAACAGCTCTGAGATTCACCCGTTCCTTGTCTGAAGCAGCAGGACGATCTCTTCTATCATGGGGCAGGGAACTGTTGTCCTGGTCAGCCTTAGGTATGGATGATCGCATGCCCAAGCTAGTAGGTTGCGAGGTGCTTTCTGCTTTTCCAACTCCGACAGCTCCATTGGCAATTCCCGGCCTACATCAAGAATACATATGAAAATCAGTGAAAATGAACTGGTATCTGTTTGGATAAATCATGCCAAGAAATGACAATTGAACGAAAAATTCAACGTATAATGTGCTGCAGTGGTTACCTTTCTTGAGACACAACCCAATTTTAACTTTCCAAAAAATAGATTTGTTTTTCTATACTATAGAGTGAGTCCAAAAGTCAATGGCAGAATCCTTAATTATGTCAGACTACATCTTACTTATACAGAAAATTTGTTTCTTTAGGACAATTTAAAGAAGACCCACAACTTCAAATCTTTATGGGTCATCATCACAAAAGGCAATCATAATTTGAAAGCCTCAATGTGACTTTTCAAAACTTTACTAGTTTAGATACATATGCAAAATCAATGCTAATCTATTCAAGGATGGCAGCACATAAGATGATAATGCACGACAAATAAACAAACTCTGATGATAAGGCATTAAGTGCTTAAGAAATGAAGTCACTGTTCCCTGGCAAAAGAGGCATGAGGAAAATGAAAAGCAAAAAGTATCAAGTGCAGGATGGAAAAAAGTATTAAGTGCAGCATGCAGTTGCATGACAAAGAAGATTTTGCAAATGAAAATAACTGCAAATTTTCTATGAGTCTCCACCAACTCCCAACCCCCAACCCCTCCAATTCATTAATTGAACATACAATACAAGACTCAAAATTTTTAACTTGAGGTATATTTTGCAAGAATACATGACGACATATCTCAATTTAGACAGTAATTTTCCAATGATACCAATAATGGAAGAAGTCAAAGATTAGCCCACAAGAAAGTGCCTCTACCAGGTGAGGACTGCATGGAGCATTCCAAGGTTTCACAAAGACTGAAGTCAGCAATACAAGAGAAGCCTAACAATGCTTATTGAAATTTAACAAATGTGCACACGCTAGGAGTACAAGAAGTTATGAGGGGCCTGATGAAGAAATATTACCTGAACCCATGGGAGTCATTCAACCTTGATCGAGCCTCAGTAAGAAGTCTTGGCTGCGTTCCTTGTTTGGGTTCCCTGTAGCCATCAATAGGTTTTGCTGCCACTGTGTTTGGAGAAACATCTGGCTTTATCCCAGATCGCTTCTTCTTCATCTTTGACTTTTCCCAACCATCAACACCAATTGATAAAGTTCGCTCTTCACCCTGAGTTGCACTACTATTTGGAAGTCTCAATACTTCCCTATCCCTGTCCATATTCCCGGATGGCCTAGCAGGAGTATTTGTGCGTACATCAGTCTAAATCAATCAAAATTCATGTGTCAGTGTTCTCTGAAAAGATTAGATTCAACTTGAATGAAAGAATGGGGAACTGATTGTCAGCAAAGAATATTGGCATTCTTCAAAGCAGATTAACAGCTAACCTTACCGAAGCTACCAAGATCACAATTTTTTTAAAAATATATATATATATATATATTGTGACAGAATAACTAATTCCAAACCTTATCCCATTCCTAGAAAAGAACAAATAGGGAAAATATATAATGAAAATTTGGTTACATCAATTTTTTAAAAAAAAATAGAAATTCAAGTTACACATAACAGATACTGACAAACTGTTCACCCGGGGACACATGCAATTATGCCAACAGGAATCTGCACCAGCTCAACACATACATGATACATGCAAAGAACTTCAAATTTTGTGACTGAGGGTATTCAATCTCACTACTGAGAGAAACATTCCCCTTCGAGTGATGACTAGTGTCCATGCAACATGGCCAATGACCTGTGTCCATGCAAAACACACACACACACACAAAGAAAAGGAAGAGGGGGAGGGGGGGGGGGGGGGGCGTAATGGGGGAGACCCAAAAAATTCCTGAAAGAGGATGCTTCCATGTTAACTGGAGCAAGGAATGAAAGCAGAAATATTAACTAAAACATGCCTATTGGCGACTGATGATCAGCAGAAAGCAGTAAACAACATTAATTGGGGGGAAAAACCTATATGGAAATCAATAAATGAAACCATCATGTAAAATTCAGAACAAAAAAACATAAACCAATGAAACACAAAAAAAGACAGGAGGTCCAAGTTACAAACCTTCCCATCCACCATAGAAGTTCGGGTGCGTTTATTTGGAATGGAAATTTTGGTCCTTTCTTCCGACTTTTGCTGCTCAAGTTCAAAACCACTAGCAGTGGCATGACTTTGGGTTCCCATCTTACCAATGCCTGACCCTAGAACTGACCGATCACTAGGGTATAAGGCATTGGATCTATCAGTAGAAGAGACATCAGATCGGGATCTCTTCCTCGATGGAATGCCAGGGAAACACTTGTTCATTACGGACAAGGATTCACTGAAAATCTTCAAACGCTCCCTGTTACATTAGACAGATTTATAAGCTAAATACCTCTCCAGACTCGTATCAAAAAAATATAACAACTATCCAGCCCTTTTCTTTGGTAGTTTTTATCAGAATATGAACAAATACCTGGCCTTCATTGAACTGTCGCGAAGACCAGCCTTGAGTCGTTTGAGTTCATCCAGTGGGAGAGAATGCGGCAACTTGCCTTTGGAAGAACCAGATGGAGAATCATCCATAGGAAGGCCAAGAGCAACACTTGTTAGTCGCTTAAAATCCACTTGCCGGCCAAATTTGTGCTCTGTAGCCATCGATTTTAGATCAAACCGCAAGCATTGTAAGAAGTTCAGCACATCTCCCTGTGTTACAGCAGAACTAATTCTTGACATGCTTGGAAGAGTTGACAGGATCGGATTCTCCATGTTCTCACGGAAGCTACCCGATCTATCCAATGAGGCAGCTGTGTATGATCCACGCTGCATGAATAAGGGCCTATCTGGGCTTCCAGAAGACATATCAAACTTACCAGATGCTGCCATTGCACCAGTTTTTGCACACCCTCTGTGTTAAAAACCCAGTAGTGCATGACAAAAGTGCAGTGCGACAGCACATCAAAGCCAAACTTGAAAGTCTTGAATGAGAATGGCAGGACAATACACCTGTAGAGGGTAATAAGTTGAAGAATACATAGAAAATCCACATCAGCTAGAAGTACTGAAAAAAGAAAAAAGAATAGCAGTAATAAGTTGCAACTGATCCGGAACACGATCAGCAGTAATCCAGTTACAGAAACGTAAATACCAAGACATTAAGCTCAAAATCATAAATCATACAGACCCTGCATACTTTATTCTTTTAATTAAAGTACAAAATTTTCTCCTAAGGTTGTATCGATAAGTATCAGAGTTTTCTATAAATATTTTATTTGATTATTCATAATTGCAAGGCAATCCTCAGTCAAAAAAGAAAGGAAGGAATATCAGTGACTCCACAGAGGTTAACCCATCGAACATATGAAGAAACAATTAAAATATCAAACATTGATTGGGACACAAGGCTTAGTTTGGTTTGGTCACCTGTCCAAAATTGAAATATCAACCATTGATGTGCTGTAGTAGCATCGCATAACTAAAAAGTACCTAAGAACCCCCTCGGGTTGGTGCCTCGGTCATGGTACACTCAAGCAACCAATCATCTCAAGCGTGATCATGAGGGACTAGTGGATTAGTGGCTAGAGCTAGGAATATTCAAAGTTTCTTGGTTCACCCGGTTAGGGTGGCTGCACTCTTCATCACTATCGTATCAATACAACTATCATTTCTAAAGCTTCAAATTATAAAAGCAACATAATATGAAAAGATAGTGGTTTTTTATTATTATATCCACTGAAGCAATGCAACTACCGTTTTTCTAAAACTAATAAAGTAGGATAAAATAATAAGACAATGGCTGTCAAAGTAAAAATAAATCACATGATTAATAAATGAAAATTTGATTGCGTGATATCCTTCTTTGAGACAATGAATTATACAATGCCTAGACCATGCATTATATGCCTTTATAACTAAACACATTTTGCTTTTAATACCATTACCTAACTTGGCCTATCAATGAGGAATGTTGGATGGGTGGATCAGGTATCAACCTCTCCTAATATTCTTCTCTGCGTAAGGCCATGGTAGTTAGAATCTTGTGATTCGCAATTTGATTCATATGATTTGATACGATTTTCAACCAAAATGATTTGATTCATGTTGTGAATCTCAAATTGAGTGAATCATACGATTCAAATTGCAATTCACTACAATTCGCTATGATTCACTGCAATTCACCGCGATTCAATTTTGTTTACATAATGCATGATACGGTATAGTTTTCGCAAAATAAAATAATTAAAAAAAAAAAAATCCAACTTCTTATATTGATATATGACTTTATATGTAAATACATATAGTTATACAAATACTTATTTCATTTTAAACATTGTGCATATTTTTATATGTATATACATATATATAATTATATATTATGCTAAATAAAGTGAATCTTGTGATTCATGATTCGATTTGCAATTTGCGATTTGCCAACAATGCATAAGCCATAGTCTGAAAAACATGTACAGTGCACATCATCACTTCTTTACTTCTAATGGCAGCATCAATTTATTAAGAATTCTAAATAAGAAAATGAAAGCCAAAAATAGGAGCAAACAATCTACTACCTTCAATTTTACATCTAAGAGATTCTGTTATTATGTTAATGTATTAAATTTTTAATTAAATTCTTTATCAATCTTGTATTGATCACTATTATTAATTACAATGCGAACTCACCCAGGTTCTTGAGCATTTGGACACAGAAAACAACACATAGGTAGAACTCGTATAAATAAACAACTAAAATAGTAAAACCATAATTAACTTTAAATACCAAACCATGATTTTCCGTGCGCGTGCCATAGAACTCTATATTATCACATGGGTACACATTCCCAGTCTTCAAAAGCATCACATAGACAAAGATAAGTACATAACACTGGAAAATGATATTATTCCCTAAACCAACCGCAGTTCAAACAATTTTTGCCACAGAAATATGTATGAACTCATTAAAAAGCGTAAATGCAACTGAATCGAATGAGAAAATGAAAACCTGATATTGGAATCCAAAAAACTGCTTATCAATGGAAAAAAAAATGCTTTTTTTCTACTTAAATTATTAATTGTATTGCTCACTTTTCCCGTTCTTTTTACCCGATTTTCAAACAGCCTCAAGTTCACTTCCACAGTTCAAATAACAGCCAGATCCCTATAATTCTGGTCAATGACTGCACATTTATTTTCACTCCATTTCTCTATTCCCATGTCTGTTCATCTAAATTCCCATCCCAAGAGCTCATCAGATCAACATAAACACCAAATTAAGCACTTCATCAGGAAAATAATAATAATAATAATAATAAATCTAGCTACTAACTGTAGCCACCCAATACCACAAAACTCGTTCTGATCACAATTTCACTTCAACTACCACAAAATTACAAACATGCAATTTGCAAACAAACGAAGCTAATATATACGTAAAAACACATACGCAAAATGGAAACCCTAAAAGTTGAATCGAAGGAAAAGCAAACAAAAACAGATGTAGTCTAGCCTCAGCTGTAACAAAAACTATAGCCAAGAAACAAAACCCTAGAAGCTGAATCGACGCAATCAAATTCTGAAAAAGGTCAAATATATACAAGGATACAGATATTTAGATATAGATATAGATATATACCTTGTGAGGAACTAGGAATGTATTGATTGATTGAGATTCGAGGTGTGTTGCGAAGCAGAATCGAGAGTGAAAGTTTGAGGAATCGAGAGAGAGTTTGAATTTTGGGGGAATCTGAGAGAGAGAGAGAGAGAGGGGTTCTTCAGAGTTGGAAGCTCGAAATCGAAGGTTCGTTCAAAGCCATGGAGGACGAAATCGACCGCTGTGTGTGTGTTATGATCGGCAAAATGTGTTGGCTTTTGTTGAAAGTACGTTTATGCCCTTCGTACGTGGCATTAGGGAATAGAGGGGGAGGGTTTGATCAGGGGTATTGTTGGAATGTAAATTATGAGTCGGCTCCAACGGCTCCAACTCTATTTATTATTTTTTTTTATTTATTAATTTTGACCTAAAATAAAATAGGACAAATTTAATAATATATATATATATATATATAGAAACAAAAACAAAACAAAATTAATTCGAATTACAACAAATGTGGGAAGATGAAAAGTAATTACAAACATTTTGAGTTTGGATTTTGAAAGACAAAAATATTCATATTTTTTTTTTCTCGCCTTTAATCGTCCGTCATTCTTAACAAAACCTTAACCACATCTTAATTTCTCTAATTTTGACTACTACACATGATCATTCATCTGCAAATCCTAACCCACCCTTTCTCTCTCGCTCTCGCTTGCCTTCTTCTACAGTCAACTGCAACCCAATTTTACATTCCTTTCATTATCCAAACATCCCTTACCTCCCTTATCTTGCCGTCCCTCTCCATAATTGATTTTGATGAAAACCATAGAAGAGCTCAATCGGACAAAACCTTGAAACCAAATAACTAGATTGATTTTACGATAGATTTCGATGAAAACTAAGCAAGTGGATTGTGTTCGATGGTTGCATGGAAAAGAGTGATATAAGTGTGAGAATGTTACATGCCTTTTTGTTAACTAGAAATAATAAAAAAAAATAAGAGACCCACTTTGAGGGGAGACCTGAAATTAGTTCACATTGAGGAGAACCTAAACTTTTGTTTTTCACAATTGAAGACTTATGATAATATTTTTTTTTTTTCTTCATTTGTTAATAGATATTGTTTATATGAAATAAAGTTTTTTTTTTTGGGGGGGGGGGTTGAATATATATGAGGAAACTACAATCCCCCAAATTCATTATCCTACAACGTAGAATAAACACCCACTATTCCATTACCAATAACCCCAACCATTAATTAATTAATATCTAATAAACAATTTTTTAATAAAATGATATACATAATGTAACATTGCTGAAAACAAGGTTCGCTCAAGCACAGGATCTACCGCTCAAGCAATCCTTCGAGTTATCTAGTATTTTGCTCTGTAGACCTGAGATTTTGAGAGCTTATGTTTTATGCTTGAGCGCATGAGTTTCTGCTCGAGTGGTATGCCTCTCAAATGGATTGAGATTCTAGGAGTTCAAAATTTTCACTCAAGCAAAGGTTTGTACACTTGAGCGGTATTCGTTGAGAGCTCGAGCATAGGAATAAGAACTTGAGCGGTCTATTCGGGATTAACCACTTAGAGGTCACTTTTTTGCCTAACCTTCTCACTTCTATCTCTCATTTCTCCATTTCCGAAAACCCTAGCCAAAAACCCTAGATTTCATCTACTTTTACAAAGAATCCATCCTAGTTCTTGAGTAATAAATGTAGAATATGAAAAAGAGAACATTTTGGACATATTAGATTGCATCCTTGTCGAAGTCATTTTTCAAATCTTCATTTCTTTGGCTATCATCTTTGAGGTATGGATACTTTTAACTTAGTGTATCTATGATTTGAGATGAATATGTAATATCTTGTTAGTTATATTGATGTATGGGATGAATGTTTTGAGTTAAAAGAGTACTGATGCTTAGAAAGGGAAATTTTCCCAAATCTTTGAGAGATTTTGAATGATTATTGAAGAGCAAGGTTATTGATGAAGATTGTTTGGTTTAAAATGTAAGCGAAGTGAAAAACCCTAAATTTTTACAAAACTCTTGTTTTGATTTTGCTCTAAAAAGAGGATTTTGGTTCAACTAGAATATGTAACTTGAAAGTGAGTTGATATTTAGTAAAAGTGTATATGATTATTGATTTGAAGTAGTAGAGATTTCATATTTTGAAGAATGGATTTGGATATCATTGGAAATATGGAAATTGGAAGATTCTTAGTTATGGGTTATGTAATATATCTATTGTAGTAATGGATTGAACCTTAGGCAAGTTTAAAACATTTGCAAAATTCATGCATCTTATTGCATTTCATGATTTCGAACTCAAGTTCAATTACTCTTTTGAATGTTTGAAGAGCCAAAAGAGGATAAATAGTGTGTGAGTCTGGGTCATTGAGTTAGGATTTGGAAATGAGTCGAGTATGATATTGGTGCCAGCGCGGGGAGGCTAGATGCCAAATTGCTCTGTCTTGTGCTTGATGCCAAGCAAATGTGGGAAATATTTTTAGGTATCCACTGGCCCTGCCGTATTGTGAGCGGGCAAATGTGGGAATATTTTTTATGTAAAACTCTATATAAGTATGTATTGACTCTTGCCTTGGGATTCTATTGCGTATTTACCGCCCCATTAATGATGTTGAGTTTTTGTATAACAACAGTGCATTGTGCACCATTTTTTAAAAAGAAAAACAAAGATTTTATCATGGCATGTGCATAGTATGATCATCCATATCAAGCATTTACATACTCTGTTAAATGCATTTCTACTGGGCGATTAGCTCATTTCTACCTAACAAACTTTCAAGACTTGGTGATGTACTTCCACCAAAATGAAGAAATGGTGGAGATTTTTTATTGGAGCACAAAGGCTCATTGATGATATCTATGCTAAAGCTCTGAGCTTTTTTTGTTTTGGGATTGAATGTCTACCCTTTTGTGTAACCACGACATTAGCCTTGAAAGTTGTAAGGCATTCTATATGTGTGTTCATCTAACTCTTTGAACTATATATATATATACGTGTGTTTTGAATATATATTTTTGGGAAGAAGTTGTAATGTAATTGGAAATAGTTCAATGAGAAAGAGGCATATTTTGTATAAAAAATTATTATACTTCAAAGAATTTCATTTATTTTCATTAATGTTTAAATCTATAAGGATAAATATTAAGTTGTAAATTACAAATAGGTTTTAAAATATCGAGGCGTTACATATAATATTCTTACTCTTTTAAAATCAACCTTGCTGTCAAGATTGAAATACATAAACATCCAAAATCCATCAAGATTCCATATTTTGTATAACAAAAAGAGAAAGTAAAAATATTTAACTTATTGGCTTCTGAATGTAGCATTAAAACTTGTAGAGACTATTTTTCGCCACCTTGAATCGGTAATACAAATCATTGATTTTTTTCTCCATCAATAAATCATCTTTTTCAAGCTTTTCATTTGTGTTGTTTTTGACGGACCATCTTTTTCACTCTTCCACCTTCACAACTAAGTGTCCTTATGAGCATATTGATCTCATTTAGAGATTTCTTGAACTGTTTGTTTATTTCAATCGTATTAGAGACAAGTGTTTTTATCCTTATTAATGTCTTCATGCAATTAACTGCACTGTTTCCGATGTTATAGCCATTACCAAGGAATATGTAACAACCCCGACCTATGATTAACTGTTAAACCATGATTAGCCATAAGTAACTATGCCTAATGAGTAATTAAGATGAAATTCTGAATTAATTGAATGTGTGTTACATTATTTGTGTTTCTATCTGTTCATGGCAGGAATGTCTGTCTGTATTTCCGTTTCGTTTTGCTAATTGAAGGCCTTATCGACATCCGATTACGAAATTGACTTGATATATGTGTTATTCGGAATTTTTGGGAAATTATGGTAGGCTTAATTGAAATTCAATTCGGAATGAATTAATTAGAATTCAATCATGTGGATTAGTGAACTTAAGCCTAGCTTAATTAGATGCCACTAACCAAGCCTATATAAGGCTTATTGGACTCAACACACACAAGTTACACACTCTCATCCCTTCATATTTGAGCTCATAAACGTGAAGGAGAGAGAGAGAGGGACTTAGGAAATAAGTTCAAACACTTGGGTGTTGTAAAGACTTGGAAGAGTTGGCTTAGACTCAACAATTAGCTAACTAGAGCTCAAATAGACATCTAAGGTATGAAATCAAGCTTCTAACTTAGAAATTTAGTTGGGTAATGCTTGGAATCAAGTGAGATAGGTGAATTAACTTGGGAATTTAGCTAGAATTGGAGAAATGAACTCAAACCATGCACGCATGCATATTTCATAGCATTTTGAAGTTGTTTTCCCAAGAATTTCCTCATGTATGTTACTAATTCACCTTAGTTTTGGGAATTCATCAAGTTTCATGTCATTTTGTGTCGTTAGATCATGTTTTCAAAGTTTTGAAGTCAAGGCAATACATGCATGTTATGTTTTCTAAGAATTGAGTTTTGTTTTCTAAGAATTGAGTTTTGTTTTGCACAATTGGCAAGTTTTTGGGCTTTGATTTTGCGAAATGATTTAGAATTCCCAATATTTTCCAAGTTCACATATGATTCCTCAAGTGTTTGGCCCAAAAAGATGAGTTTTAGAGTATTTGATTTGAGTTTGGAAGCTTGGAGGTGAATATGGAAATTCCAGAATTTGACCTCTCCGCTCGAGCGACAGATCCTGTGCCCGAGCTGCCACTTTTGTTTTTGCATCTCCGCTCGAGCGACTTGAGTTGCGCTCAAGCGAGGACTTGAGTCTTATGCTCGAGCGACCATCGAGCGTCCGTCGAGCGTGAAAATCACACAACCAGTACTTTTACAGACCGCTCAAGCGAAAGAAGGTACGCTCGAGCGACCGCTCACATTTTGCATGTCCGCTCGAGCGAGACCCCTGTTTTCAACAAGTTTTGTTGAATGTATTCAAGTGCATTTTAGCATCCTCATTGCATCTTAGTCATTCCTAGGCCAAGATTAAAACATAATAATGAGGATAAGAAGTAGAAACACACCAAGATAAGAAAGGATTAAGTTAATGATTCCGGGTGTGTAATTCAATACGTATCCGTTCAATGTTTGTGTAGGTTACGCGCCATAAACGGTCTGGTTTATCTACCTAATCTATTCTGTAAGTGGAGCCATCTATGAGTAATAACTTAGTAAAGCTATGTTTAACTTTAATTATTTTCTGAATGATAAG